ATGCAAATGGGTATATTAAATAGCGCATTTTTGTTTTGATTTAAATCTTAGCTTGGATGTTATATTGGAGAAGTGTGCGAATGGGAGTCAACCATAAAACCAATTACAGGTGATATTAAGTAGAAGTTATAAATAGCTTTCAATTTTGGTGGTCAGCAAAGCCGTATGTTTGAAGTTGCATTACTAATTGGTAAGTTTATTAGAAAAACCTGTCAATTTTGATAGATTTTGCGCGATCAGCTTAAATTAAAATTTATTAAAATTATGTCTGCGTAGAAGTCAAGCTGATAGAACGCTTGGCAATTGTAGCCGCATGACAGCCGTTTAACAATCATTTAAAAATAGCTAACAGTCGATCGGAATGATGAAAAATGACTGAAGATTGTTAAGAATATAAAGTTGTTAAGGCTTTGAATGACAAGAATAAGTTGACTAAAAACAGGAAAGCAATGCTGTAACATTAGGAATCTCTCAAAAAATATTATTTTGGGCAAAAACTCAAAAAGTATTGAATTTTGAAGTTAATAGAAATTATTTAACTAATGATTTAATGCCAAACTTGGTTGATTGCCTGACTCCTTGGTTCATTGATTGACTCATTACTAAATTGCCTAGCTCGCTGTTTTATTTCATGACTGAATTTTGAATGAGCTTTCAAACTTTGGATGCTGAAAACCACCAAAAAATAGTCATTAAATCGAAATACCGACACAATATTAAAAGATATCCAAAAATTCGTATTACTCTTGGTAAAATTCAAGTCATAGCTCGTCAATAAGAACCAAAATATTAAGCAATGATCAAAAAAATTACCAAGCTAAGAATCTAGCCTTAGTAGCTCTAATAAGGTCGTAATTTTCTTGATAAACGTTAGCAAAAGTTAAGTCCTCAGAACATTAGACTAGATTCTTTATTAAGATAATTTTTAATGTACTAGACTTAACACTTTGACTCATGCAGACTCACTAAAAACATCTCATTTATTACAAGACATTTTGAGTTCCTTTATCAATTAAAATGCGCTAAAACAATGAGTCTACAATTAAATAGCTCCTCAGTGCCTCACTCAAAAGGAATTTAAAACGATGTGAATTGTGATGACAATTTTCAGCTCTTTCTATTGCTAGTCTATTCTATTCTATTTTTATATTATTTAATTTTTGTTCTATAATGAAGGAGGAAGGAAAATTAATGAAAAAAATAAAAGAATGAAAAAAAAGGATATTTTCTTTTATGGATTTTAAAAATTAAAAAAGGGAAGAATATTAAATTCACACACAAAAAAAAAAGAAAGAAAAGAAAAGAAAGAATAGAGTGTAGTAGTGGAAAACAAAAGGCATTATCATTTATACTGCAGCATAAGGAAGTACTTTCAATGCGATGAAAATTGTTCAAAGAGAGAGAAATTAAAAAAAAATGTATAAAAATAAAATAAAATGAGGGAAAGAAATGTTTATAATGATTTGTGAAGTTTAAATTAATTAAAATAAAATTTTCATCAAAATTGCATTTTTGAATTATTTTCTTCATTTCTCTCATGTTGATAGACAACCGAGAAAAGCTTGACTGGATGTGAAAAAATTTTAAATAATGGAAAAATTCCTTTCAAGAGTTATTTGCAAGCTGGATAGCTTGATGGAGATTTTTTTGAAAATTAAATTATTTTGAAATTAATTTTTCATGTTGATGGCTCGAGTGAATAGCAAAATTCATTAGAATCTTTGAGATTGTGGACTGGAAACTATTGTTCATTTAAGTAAATATGAATTTTTTTAAAAGATTTTGAAGATTTGATTTTAAGAAGATTTAAATGAGAGTTATGGCGGGACTTAAAGATCAAATAAAAGAATTTAACCTCAAAATTTCAAAATATTTAATATGTGCTCCTTTATGTCCAATTATAAGGGCATAGCTTGGAAGGTATTTGGATTCAAAGTCGTCCAAAATTAAAGCTTAATCATTCGTGTCCCATTAAAATCAATAACCAGTACAATCTTTAATGTAAAACAACAAAACCATTTTTGGACCCAGTGAGATTTTTTCTGGATATGCTTGTACCCTCTTTATTATTTTTGACGCATCCAGATGAGGATTGTGGGATATTTGACACCTGCTTTGACTCCCAAAGCTTCAACTCTATCATATTGACCCCTTAAAAGCTTTAAACTAATTAATATAAGCTTTACAGAAAAGAAATCACTCGAATATCAAAACATCCCCCAACTTAATTGCTGAATTAATTAAATCCACACCAATTTTGTAAAAACATTTCATTTCCAGCAGAAAAAATTCACAATTAATTCACAATCTTTCTTCTCAACACAATAAGATTCAAAATAATTCAATTTTGGTAAATATTTTCATAAAAAACCCTATTTTGCATGAGTAAATAAAGAAATAAAAATCTGCAGCGAAACATACAAAAAAAAATTTTTTTCACCGTAAAGAATTAAAATATAAAAAAATACAGAAAAAAGCTCATTGCCGGGAGCGAGGAAATGAGAATGAAATAAATTCAAAAGGATTAAATTTCACACTGATACTAATGCTTTTGTTTTGTTTATGCTGTTGTTGTTATTCTTTGTGTGAATTAAAAAATTTTTCTCATTCTTAAATCGGAAGCAAATCGATCCTTTTTTTTCAGCACATAAAGAAAGAAAAATATTTTTTTGTTCTTTCTCCTTTTGCATATTCATAAATTTAAATCATGAGGCATCACATAACACCAACACATTCTTTTATATTTTTTAAATGTGAGGTGGATGCAAGGAAGAGAAAAAAGGATAAACAAATAAATTATGAGATGGAATTGCTTTTATTTTAGTTTTGAGCGTACTTTTGTAGACATTTTGGCATTGTTGAATCTTAAATTGAAGGGAAAAGACCAAAAAACATTGCAATTGCTCAAGATTTTAAAAGATTCATAAGAAAATCAATTCAAATTTTGATCGATTCTAGAAAAATGCGCTTAATTTCCAACCTTCAAAACTGAATTTTACAAATCAAGCTTTTTCAATTGTACCTGAGTTTTTATTATTCTTTTTTGTGCCAAAATAAACTCAGACTCGACAATTTATGTACAAATTCTATTTCCAATCCGACGGTAGATGAAAAATATTGTGAAAATACACATGGACAAAAAAATAAAAAAAAAATTCATCTAAAAGTATAAAATATGGATTAACTTTATCAAGAAACAAAGAACAATAAATTAGTATTGATATGTGTATACGTAATGCCGTAATACCTAGCAACTATTTTCAAATATTTCATTTTGAAGCAACAACAACAATAACATAAAGCAAAGTCTCTTGTGTGCAGTCGATGTGGGCAATACTCTCAAAAGGATCATAAATTAAAATGAAAATAAAATAGACATATAGATATAGATTTTTTTGTTGTAGTTCCTCTTTATATTTCACGCACACACGTACTATTAATTGACAACTAATTGTGGGGCATTGTTTGGGAGTTTTAAAGCTCATCAGTTGCTATTATCAGTTTTTAGATATCTTGTCGGCATTGTTCATGACTGTTGACGATTATTGTTATTTATTTTGTTTACAGAATATAAAAAAAGTTATTATATTTACATGAATGGAAAGGTTTTAAAGAGTAGAAAGGTCTTTATTGTTATATAAAATATTAAATTTGATGTCAATGAATGGGTTTATGTAGGAACCAAATTGTGTAGAAAATTTATGGGGTTATTGTATTTAATTTGATGGATTCTGACTCACAATTTGGATTTTTGTTCAAGCTCTTTAGGGCTCTGGACATGAATTTTATTTATTTGGGTTGTGAACTTAAAGTGGAGACTTATGGAGTCTATATTAGCAAACTTTTGACATCAAGGTTTTAAAAAAATCTTGTTTAGTGAAACTAATTTTGGATATTCTGGATTTAAGAGGCATTAGATGAAATTTAATGAAATCTTACATAAAGCATTAAAATAGAATTTTTAAGACCTCAACTCGAGTGGAATAGTGTTCAAGTTGTGGAATTAATACCTAATAGCTTTGCAATCGATCTGTACAAGGCTATTTTCTATAAGAGGCTAGCATCCAGAGCCTGAGTTTGCTAATGAGCACTTTCACAATCCTTATATGTAAGTCTGATAATTAGCCTGCACCTTATCTTCGACAAATGTTGAAATTATTCAAGCTTGAAGTAAAGAACCTTTACGAAGCCTCTCTAAAAATGCAGGAACTTGTCACAGGCACTATGTTGCAGCTTTTTAAAAATCTTATGAAGTTCAGGTTATTAAAGAACTTTGTTGAGCTCAAGTCTTCATAAGGAAGCCGCTTTAAAGCCAAAAGAAGTCCAAAGAACTTCTGATAAGCACAAGGCTCTTGAGGGTATTTGAAAGATGCATAGATTTCACCTGGATTTAATATTGCTGCCCTTACGCTCACTCTTTATAGCGTACTTTATGTCTCTATGGATCCTAAATTCCATCCATTAGCACTTCGCTCCATTACAAAATTTGTCCATAACTTAATTGTCAATTTACAGTACAATGCGGAACAATATACGCCCAACAAATAAATATACAATTCACAAATAATAATAATATCGACCAGGGAACGCAAAAAGGTATTTTTTTCCGATTCAATTTGAAACATTTTTTCAATAATTTATACATTTTCCGAGTTAAATATGAAAATCAAAATAAGAGTAAAATTAATAAAAATTAAACAAAAATTTCCCTCAATTAATTATGCTCATTATAAAATTAGTAATTAAATTAGACTCAAAAATATTAAATAAATTATATTATGTCCAAAAATTATACAAGCATTTTATATGTCCACTGGATATAAAAATGTAGGTTTAGTATTATTATGTTATGATTAAAAGTAGTTTCTAATTAAAACTTTTGTTATTAATGAATAAAAAAAAATGTTAATAATCCAAAATTATAGAGATAAGAGGATAGAGATAGTGAAGGGATTTGTTATATCGGGTCAGTATTACTTGCATGCAATAAAAAAACGTACAATGGCCGGCCGATGAAGTACCCAGATACCCACTTTGGCCATCTGAGCTTGAATTCCCTTTGATAGGAGCCCTTTTACAGCTCCTTCTGCACATGCTGGCGACTCAAAGTCGACGAAGCCATAACCTGAAATAAATGTACATAAAATATTCCACATTTAGTTTTTATTGCAGCCAAAAAATTTTCTTTTTTTTCTCAGTTCTAATATTTTCTGATTTTTCTATTTTTTTATCTTTTTTTTTTCTCAAAAATGCAATTAAATACCTTTACATTTATTGGTTGTTTTATCTAAAATGGCTTTAGTTGAGATGATGGTTCCATATCTGCAATGAAAAAAATAGAAACAAAGAGAGAAACATTTAGTTACAGATGCTTTTTGGTATGTCGATGTAAATGCATAAGCACATAAAAGTAGATTAAAAATTTCTGATAGGGGTTCTGAATGTCAATTTGTAGTTGTCGGGTGTATGTTGGATGTAAATTTATGATTTGTGACTTTTTAGGTCAATGTGTAACAAAATTAGATCAAAAATGAGCTAGACTAGCTTAAATCTGCGCTATTGTACAGTTGTGTATCCGTCAGAGTTATCTAGTCATGTAGGCAAATCTCGAAGTGCTAGAATTGGACTTCTTGGAATTAGTAGCTAGGGAAAACAACTGTCATAACCCTCTTTCGTGAAGACATATGTTCGATTCCTAAGAGAGACTAAAACTAGTATTTTGACACTGCAACTAGTTTTAAAAGCTGTCAATAAAGCTTTTTTGATTTATACCAAGAACTAGAACAGTACTAGGATTGAAAGGGACCAAAAGACCACATATCGGTGTCAAAAAAGCCAAGGATCAATTTTATACACTCATTCCTTTAAAATACCTAACATTCAATGATCAATACATCCAAAAATCAACATTCCTTCTCCAAACTTGTTCCCAAACACCCCTATTCCACTCATTTACACCTCAATCAATACCTCTATTCCAGAAAATAAAATAAAATATTAAATTTAATTCCCTCAAACTGCACTCCCAGCTCTTCTATTCAAACCAAACACAAACAGATTACAAAACTAAATTCGAAGCTTAAAACAAACTTTTTAATTAATTAAATTTCAACAGTTGTGTGAGCTGGTTTGTGTGAAAAATACTTCACTGAGCTTTCCATAAATAAAGACTTTGTTTTTGTTTCTCCATCGAATTTTTCAAATTGAAACAAAAACCTTGTGAATGTTTCTATTTCCTAGCCAAGTCCTGTATTATGAATGGAAACGTGCACTGACAGATGTAAAATTACACTTAAAATTTTTTTATCGATTTGACTCAATAGCACTGATTGCATGTCAGCAATGCATCAACAGCCTATGGGCATGATATCGAATGATTTTCACACAATGGAAATATGTTCGGTGATTGAGTTAAACAAAAAAAATTATTTTGATTTATTTTTAGATAGCACGAAATAGGACACAAAAGATAAGGGACGGGTCAAATGAAGGGATATGAACAGTAATTTTGTGGATGATTGTTGGATATGAAGGTTGAATGTGGAAGGACAAAAGGCAAATATTTGTTATAATTTCGTGGTTAGGCTTGATGTTGATGTTGGAGATTGTTATGAATTATATTGGATGTGTGGATTAAGTTCTGACCTTTTATTGGATTTTTCTTTAATTTTTTGTGTGGCTTTTGTGTGGCTTTGTATAAGAGGCGCCATTGTAGAGTTAAAGTAAGTTTTGGATGTAGTGATGGAACTGACTAGCATTTATGACCGAGTGACTAGTCATGATATCGAAAATTTGTATTCCTAGCATTTGTACAACGATGGTTCGATTCCTACCAAACACCGATCTATCAAATCATTAATATACCGAATGGCATATGAATGCAAAGCAAGTTTGACTCAATAGCCACCTTACGCTGGCCTAAAGCCTTGTGAAAAATCCTTTGAGAAGCCACTGTCAAAATTACAAGGAATTGGACTTTTCATTTTAGAAATGTAAGGTTTTATCAGCTTTAAATTAAACGGAATTGAGCCTTACAGTTCATTACAATTTAAAGACATTCGAACAATTCCAAGTACATCCTCAAGAATTTCCAAATATTCCACACAGGAATCATACCACAAAGTTCTAATTAAACTAGCTTCAGATTTCCATAAATTTTACATCCACACATCTCAAACACACTTAACATTAACAAAAATTTATGTCACTCAGAACAAAAATTCCGACAAACACAAAAACCTCTTTCTTTCCTCTCCTTAATTTGCAATTCATTTCGTCTTATTTAGTCAGCAGAGCATGGCAACAATCAATAAAAATAAAGAAAAGAACAAGAGAAAATGAAGAGAATCTCATTGTGAAGGCGCCACACTGTATAAGTACTTTGCGGATATTCATGTGAATTTTTCTTCTTCACTTTTGTGTCTTCTACTTTTAGCTGCTCATTTTTTTCTTGCCTTGTTCCATCTTCATACATAAACATAAAATTGAGAGAGAGAAAAGAAAAATCTACATTTTGAGGACTTCTTTTTATTTTTAGTGGAAATGCCAAGAAAAAAATTTCGACAAAAATTGAAGAAGTAGAAGTCATGAAGGCAATAAATGATGCTTAGTCATTTTTAATAAATTTAATGATGAGATTGAATGCGAAGCTTTGGACTTGAGGATGTAAGATGAATACTCTGAAAGGTTTTGAAGCTCTTTGAGTGGCTTTGGTGATAAGTTGACACTAGGGTAATCAAACCTTTGGCATTTTCATCCACTTTTCGACAGACCTGAACATAATAATGTGTCATTAAACATAATTTGTGAAGCACTGATTTAAGGATATCGTTCTTAAATATAGAATAATTTGTCAGATCAGAATTAAGGCCATTGAAGACGATATCTTAAGATACAGACCTCAATTATGAGACATATTCCTTTATAATTGACATGCGTTCGATTCCTACTCCTTTCAACCAAAAGTGCATATTCAGAACAATTTTTAATTAAAAATCACGGTCGGAAAAATCCCAAAAAAATATTAAATAATTTTAACAATACCCCAATTTGTAATTACAAATCCGAGATATTGTTCAAATATTTATTTAAAGTTCATTATAATTGAATTCATTAACAAAAACGTTCGACGAATTATCAAACAAATTTCAATACATAATTTCATTATTATTCACACACAAAAAAATTACAGTACAGGAAACAATTTAATCAGATAATTGAATTAAAGTAAATTTCAATTATTTGAGGATAAAAAGGATTAAAATGAGCAGTGAATGAATTGTATGGCCACATTGTGTGTCTGCTTTTGAAATGAAAAGGAACATTGTCAATAAAAGTTGTATTTGCTATTGTTTGCCTAGCAACTGAATTTTGGATCATTTTGATGAACATGCTTTGCTTTTGAGGATTGTTAAAGTTTTGGATAGCTTTGAGGAATTAAGGAACAATAGCTTGACATGTAGTTTGTCGTAATTTATGAGTTTAATGGACATGCATTGATGAAAAAGACATTGAAAGTTTAAAGGTAATAAATAGACAAAAGGTACTGTGTCTGATATTAAGAAAAGCGGTAGACCCTGCAAGATTCTCAAGTTACTATAGAAATGACTTAAAAACAAACATCAAATCTTTAAGTCCAATTTACCAAGAATTCGATACCCCCAAAAAAAATCTCCATAGTCACCGCCAATAAAGCTTTTAACAACAAAATGATCAAAATTGATTCCAAGAATTACATTTCCTCAATAATCATCTTCAATCTAGCAATAATAACAAGAAACCCAAAATAAAAGAAGAACAAGCAAAGCAAGAAAAATCCTAAAGCTGTTACCAAGCAATTCAGAAATTTTCAGTAAATTCAATCAAAATGTTCAAGCCATCAGTTAAACAAACAACTTCAATTTGCAACTGTTCTTGTTCTGTTATGTAATAGTATAAAATATATCGAGGACATGTAAGTAAGTAAGACGATGAAGAAACCGAGAATAATGTCTAGAATGGATTTATTCTCTGAATATTTTTGAATATCATATTAGATTGTCACAAAACATCCACAAAAAAAAATAAAGAAAGAAAAAAAATTGTATAATATACAGCAAGACAGCAAGCAAAACGCAAATTGGATTAAATATTTTGATCCCTTAATATTGCCGAAAATAAAAAGAAAACCTTTTTTTTTTGCCGACATATCAACATATCATGTTTAAGGCACAGCACCCACATTTCATCATCACCATACGTAACTTTTGATAAACGGAAGCATATGAGGAAGGATACTAGAAGAATTTTGTGTAAGTGGATTAAATTAAACGCATTTCGTTTGGATGATGGAGAAAATTGGGAAATTGATTTGATTTTTATATGATTGACCTAGTTTTTTCTGGTTTTCAATCATGAATTAAGGATAGGAACTAATAGTTTTAATGGAAGAATTTTAGGTTAGGTGAATTGCTATTTGGAGCTGTTAACAAAAGGGTACTAGATGACACAGGAGGGTACTAGATGACACAAAGGGGTACTTAATGGCACAGAAGGATACTAGATGACACAAGAGAGTCCTAGATGACACAAAGGGGTACTAAACGATACAGAAGGGTACTGGATGACACAGAAGGGTACCAAATAATCAATCAATAAAACCCAGTTCAAAATAAAAATTGCCTCAGTGAAAAATCAACCGAAAATCAAGTTCCTCCTTGACTTCAATTTATATTCAGAGCGTCTTAAAGATCTTCTTAAAATTTTCAAATTCATAAACCTACCACGCAACATATGGATGAACAAAACATAGAGATTATTACAAATTATTCTCGCAAAACATTTCTCAAAAATTCAGAAATTTCTTCCATCTCGAGTATACAACAATCTTATACACAAGGTATGATTTCTCTTAAATTAAATTAATTTGTGCCGCACCAAACAGCAAGAAAATATAATTTTTTAATCCTTCCACCGAATTTATTCTACTTCCACCCTATTTGATTCCTTGATTCTTCGTTAGAAACGCTTATCATCAGAGTTGTCAGAATAAAGTTTTGGGGATTTTACATTGGACATATTTTATCATTCCAGTTTTTTTAAAAATAATTCTACGAATAGTCCAGAAAATACTCAGTTGACAAAGCCTAAATCCGCTTATCAACCATCCCCACCAACTCTGCTCATCACAGCAAAATGCGATAAAATCAGTTGCCTTGATCACATTAGTCTGCTTAATTATGAAGCATTCAAAAGCATGTGCCTGTCAGAAGCGAAGCTAGTAATTTTTGGAGTGGAGTCCCCTAGCTACACCTCTTATGCCTATATACATGCTGTTGTAAAAAAATAATGTTTTGGGGTAACGTTAAATCCTTCAACTTGCTATATTCATTAAAATAAAATTTATTTTTTCAACTTGTTGGCACAAAAAAAAAGTCTTTTAATTATGCCTACATGCTTACTGCTTTTTCCATGATAGGGGGAGATGGCATATAACAGATTTATCCTTTTCGATGTGTTGCAATCATTTAAAGGATTATTAAACACCACATAACATAGAATTATGTTTACACACCCTCATACTGTATTAATGACGATGAAAGAAAGTTTCCTTCTGATAAACTTTCAAGTGGCGGTTCCAAATATAATTTTCGAAATTTCTGAACGAGAGGAATGGTGGGAGACTTGAGAGGATCTTCAAAATTTCTTATGGAGAATTGAATCTTGAAGGGGAGTTTAGTATTTGAATGTAGGTGGACACGTGAAGCATTGGATGATGATGCTTGAGAAAGGAAGTATGAAAAATGTAAGGCATTTACTGGGGATTGAAATGTTGCTTATGTTACTTTTACTTTAATATGTAGATTTGCTGATTCGTTTAGATTTTGAGATGGTTTGTGGACTTGAGAAGTCTGTCGCTTAATTGAGAGACGTCATATCAATGCAACGTTGGATTCAGCTTGCATCTAGCACCAAGCATGCATCCCGCAACTCAATAGACGTTACTTTACAGTGTCCTTTGTGCCATCTTGTTCTGGAAGAGTATCTAAAGTTCTATGGCACGCAATAGACTTGACTAATCATTTCCAAAGCTAATAATTTAATTTTTCATCAAACTTGACACCACTCCCACTCACTTCACAGCCAAACAGCCATTCAAACTTTAATAATTCATCAAACTAGCACCCGATATACTTTAATACCACTCTCATGTGAATCAGAACCCCTAACATCTAGAATTAAATCTAGAAAATTATACATGACAATAATTAAAATTGTGGGACTCAAACACGCACATCCAACATTAATAAATGTTTAATTTAGTCACTACTTAGTATGTGCGTGTGTGACAAAACAAATTATGCTATAAAAACTTTAAAAAGACATGCGAAAATAAATAATTTAAAAATTTAAATAAATAAACTTACTGTGAACACATATTATGTAAATCTTTATCAGTCGTTCCCTGTTGTAAACCTCTAATATATAAATTTGTTTTCGATAGTTGTTCTGTTTGTTGGGGCGTAGTACTGGGACCCATTGTATTATTTGTATTTGTGTTACTCAAACTTGTGCTCAATGTGCCACTCTGTGATCCTGTGTTTGATGAGCTGCTTGAATTGGTATTACTAGGTGATGCGGCTGTTGGAACACGTTGTCCGTACTGTAATAAGAAGAAGAAGAATAACAACATTAAATATACAGAATAAATAGACACAATGAGATGAAATGAAAGGAGGATCGACAGTCGTTTCGCATTAATTTCACAGCTCCCAGATAAATGATTCACTTTTACTGTCATCAATCAATGTGCTCCTTTCATTTCGCCCCGTGCGTATAGCACACAAATATATATCATCAAATTTAGTTTCACAACAGAGGCAGTCAGTGGGTAAATAAGTAAGTAATAATACCATTGTAAGTAAGAATAATAATCTGAAGGAGGTGTGCATACACGCCACATCTACAGATATACACGATGGAAAGATATCAACAAAAGGCTTTATGGGTGATTTATAACAATAAATTATATGAAAGTAAATGAAATCTGAAGGATGAAAAATCGTCGTCTTTGTGTAAAAGATGATGAAAATTAATCGTGTCAATAAAAGGAAATGACACAATGGTGTGTGGTGACAAGAGACAGGTAGACCGTAAAAAAATTGGAAGACCAACGATGAATAGGCGAATATATTTGGTGATTTTTATCGACAAAATGTTTATCTCTTAAACATTAAAGTATTGGGGATGATTTGAGGGGGTTGAGGATGTTGTTTTCTGATTTTAGGTGGAAATAGAATTCGGGTTGACTTATTAATGGAAGGTAAAAATTTTAAATGCTCATATAAAGTGATGTCAATCAAAAAATAGGATTTTCGAACCTCATTTTAATAGAGGACCCGCAATAAGGTGAGTATAAGCTAGCAGACCCAAAATGTTGAGCAACTATGACTCTGAATCTTCAAAAATCATTACCTTTTCACATTGCCACTCAAAAAGCCATCAAAATACCGCCAAAATCCACAACAATCTCGTCCAAAAAATCTCTAATTCTCCATAAATCCAACGACAAAATTTCAAGTTGCTTCTTTTACAGGCATGCGATAAAAAAAGCAAACGAGCAAAGTCTATTGCAATGGTAGCCTTAATTAGTACATCTTATGGCTCACATTTCCTTAAGAACTTCCTTCTCTCTAATAAGTATTTCACTTAAACTCTTATCATCAATCTTATTTCCACTTTTTTTTATACTCTTATCCTTGTAGAAAAGTTTACTTCCTGCATGAACAAATCTCGTTTACTTATTTATCAAGCATTTCAAGTAAATTACAGAACAAATTAATGAACTCATTCCAACAGTTTTTCGTTTCCACAATCTAGATTATCTTTTTCGTCTCTCGTTTCTTTCGTACTTTTTTTTTGCATCCCTCAGGAACTGAAAAATTTTTATTTCCATTTCATAGATTAAAAAATTCGTCATCAATTTTTTTTTGTTACTGCTTTGTTACTAAGGTGCAGGTGGGGATTGTTTCATTGTTAGGTATGGTCGGTAGAGGAGTAGTAAGAAGCAAACGAGCTGATTGGATTTGAGGATATTCATCTGGACTCGAATAGAGTCAACTGAACTTAAGAAAATTCAAATAAACTAGATGAAAGTTAACTGAACTTGAAGAAATTCAAATGAACTTGAGGAAAGTCAACTGAACTTGAGGAAATTCAAATAAACTTGAGAAAAGTTAACTGAACTTGAGGAAAGTCAACTGAACTTGAGGAAATTCAAATAAACTTGAGGAAAGTTAACTGAACTTGAGGAAATTCAAATGAACTTGAGGAAAGTCAACTGAACTTGAGGAAATTCAAATAAACTTGAGAAAAGTTAACTGAACTTGAGGAAAGTCAACTGAACTTGAGGAAATTCAAATAAACTTGAGGAAAGTTAACTGAACTTGAGGAAATTCAAATGAACTTGAGGAAAGTCAACTGAACTTGAAGAAAGTCAACTGTACTTAAAAAAACGTGAAGTAGACTTGAATAGACTCAAATGCATTCAAATATAGTCAACTTGACTCGAATAGAGTCAACGGGAATCGAATGGAGTCAACGGGAATCGAATAGAGTCAACTGGACTCGAATAGAGTCTACTGGACTTGAGGAGAGTCAAATCCAAGTAAAAGAATTATTGGGGTATAACTTAAACAGTTCTACGAGGACAATAACAGCTTGAGATCCTCAAAAAACTCCACTTCCTTACAAACATCAACCAAAATCCTAAACGTAACATATGAACGACCCTAGTAATACAATCGAATCTATAAATTATCAAATAATAATGTTTTTTGGATCCAATTCCAATTTGTGACATAAAAAAAGCTACAATAGGTATCGAATGCCCCACAGTAAAACCACAGCGCATGCAATTTTTTATGTGTGTTAAATATGAAATTCATCTCTCCGGCAAAAGTGTGACCAATAAAAAAAAATAATTCCTTTTTTTTTTCATATTATTAAATTGGATGAATTTTAATTGGAATCGTGTCAAGCGATAAATTTTTAAATATTCATGATTATGAAATCTGATACAATTAGCCTGCGGGGACATTGATGGAAATATACATGCAAAAAAAAAGCTCCAATTTTCATCCTCATTTTGAGTTGTATTAAAAATTATTCGTTCATTGATATTAATATCAAGTGGGAGACCAAAAAGAGCCCCAAATGCCGCTGGATGTATTCGTGCGCGTACATCAATGCATAAATTCCATTTCATTATACAACTTTTTTTTTGTGTTCGTCACTTTTTACATTGTGTGCTGGCTCTTGGTGATGAAAATCTCCTCTTTTTTTGTTTTTTTTTTATTCTGCATTTTAATAACATTAATGTGCATTTAATTTCGTGACAAATTTAATTTTAATAAACAACGTGAATGGGAGATGGGAAAATTATTACGGAATGAAAGTAAATTGAGCACCGATGGTGGATCAAAGGCAACGCATTCATAAAAATAATTTAATTTTCTTATTTATTTAAATTAGAATTATGGATGATGGACATGGAAAAGCTATTTGGTGGAAGTTTAACTTAATAAACAGCATGAAAAATAGAAAATTAAGTTGGTCTTTCGTGGATTTATTCATTGATGGTGTTCGTGGTGATTTTATCGGGCTTTGAGTTTGGTTGTTAAGGAATTAATGCTGTCAAATGGCTGGGTTTAGATTGAAAATCATAAAATGCATTACTGTCAATTCTAATATTGTTTTAAGAAACTGATCATATTAAGTTTTAATCATTTTGTATCAGTTCTGCTCGTCATACTTAATAATAATAATGTGTGAAGGGCCCAGCCTTTCAGCTGGAGGCAATGCGATTCAAATTAAAACAGAATCTTTTGTACCACACCCTTTAGACCTACAGTTTATAGTGGGATCCGAACCACTTGCTCGTCACGCTTAATCTAAATTAAATTAAACAACAAATTATATTAAAATTGCTTCAAAATTTAAATTAATTGACCAAATCCACAACTACAAATTGATGAGCCATCAAAATTGCGCTAATAAACAAAAATCAATCGATGTTCGTACTGTTAACAGAAAATGAGCAATTAATTTCTAACAATCCGAAAATTCCGCTTTATTAAGTCATCAATATTTTTACCCATTCTCGTCTATATCATCCACAAAAGTAAGCCAAAATGACCATAACAGCTCATTTGCTACATCAAAAATGCTTTGAAAAAATTGTGTATGAATGAACGGATGGATGGATAAAAATTAATGAATCACAAGTTGCGATGCAGAAACTTAATGAAATACCTCAATATTTTCACGTTCATAATACATAAACGTTAAATGTATGTTCGGAAATTTTCATGCGGAAAAATGATTTTTTTCTTCCCTCCAATACTTATATATCTTTGCTTTCATCCAATTCGAGGTCAAGCAGATGAAGTTTCAGAAGAAATATGGATTAAGATATTGAATAGAATGTGTCATAAACATCACCATCGATGTTATTATCTTGTGTATCCCACTAAGTTTAATATTTTTTTTACCCACAAGGGAAATAATGCTTTGAGCTTAATAGAATTCTAGATACAGTATGTCTTTATCAAACCAATCCCTTTCAGCCCTATTTACAAGATGACTACTTCATATCACTACACACTCTTAATGAATTTTGAATCTACAAGAAGGAAACCTAGTTCAAAAGTTGAGGAACTGAATTTTTAACAAAATGCTGAGAAAATTATTTAAAGAATATAAATAGAGTAGTGACAGCTGCTTGTTAATTAATTAGCAAAATTTCGTGACATATGTTGAGTTGATTCGTGTTATTGAGCTATTTGAAAGCAGTGGCTAGTCTTGGGAAGAGGATGGCTGATGCATATTTTAATAGATTTGTTTTGGGTTATTTTTTAAAATTTTTGAACCTTAGTTTGCATGCTGAATCTGTTTAATAATGATATAGTGTAAAGGATTAAAGTAAAAAGGCTCCGATATGCTGGACATATTATAAAGAGATCTGTGGAAGCTCCATTAAATTAGGTCTTTAACTCTGATTTCGAATAGATGGCAAGAGATCACGTGGACGGCCAAAGAACTCGTAAAAAGAAGCTGTTGATAGGGGCAGTATAGCAATTAGTATTGGAAATTGGTAGACGGTAGCCAGTGACAGTGCTAGTTATAGGCGTCAACTAAGGAAGGTCATTGATTACAATTGATATGTGAGACCAGCGTACAAGGTTGGACCAAAGTCAAAAGACACAAGACACTAAAAATGCATAAAATCCCTCGCTAAACTGATCAAAATCTGAAGCAATTAGGTTCTTTTCCATTCTGCATCAACCAATAGCGTTAAAAATCTGAAATCTCCAAAATTTACACCCCCAACAATACCAGCTCCCATCAAAAAATCAAACACAAACCCACATTATCCAGAGTACATTAAAAATAATGATTATAACGGAACAAGAAGCAAGGAATGAATTTTTTTTTATGCCTCAACAGATAACATGTGTATGCTAATCTTTCATTCGACTCCCTCTTCTTCTCCTATCTCTGTCATGTTATCGATAGTCGTATGGCAAATGCTGCTGTTAATACTCATGATGTCTATGCCATCCGAAAAAAAAATTTTATTATTGATATTCTTATTATTTTTTT